AAGTTGAAAAGGTAACAGATTAGCATGTGCGTCTAATACATCGGTCGCTGTGGTCGGTAGTGCTCCAGTGATAGCGAGCGTCGCCTGTCTTTGCACTCTGGCCAGCTTGTTCGTGATGCCTTTCGTCCCCTTTTTGTTCGTCGTTGTTGGCACTAGGAATATACTCGCCGCGTATAGCATCTTTGGGACGGCTATAGCTAAATAGTATCTTCGCATCAGGTTGGGAGGCACTCCTCGCTTCGTCTTTCCTAGTCGTCGATATTGGTCCAACCACTTTTGGCCCTTTGCTAGCGCGTAGTTTGCATGTTCTTTGAACCTTAGCTCCTGATCTAATATTACCCCTAGGAACTTGTGGTGACTTGCCGCACTTATTATATGTCCTTGAATCTGAATTGGAGGCCGTTTTAGCGGTGTCGTCTTTTCGCCGATCTTGTCGCTCTTCTCGCGCCTCCTGCTGAAACCTGTTAGTGCGAACTTCTCTACTGAGAATGTACATTGATGGGACTTAGCCCATGCGTTCCCTCCGTTCCTCCTTGCCATCATGCTTCTCAACTTGTCGTTTGCCTGCTGGAAGTCTTTGCCAGTTGCGAGTAGTGTTGTGTCGTCTGCGAAGATTATAGCGTCTTCACCTTTCGTGCGGTCTGGGATATCGGCGATGTCTGCATTGTAAAATAAGTAGGCTATTCCGGATAACGGGCACCCCTGATCGAGCCCTCTGGGGATATGAAGCGTTTCTGAGCTGTAATCGTCGATCTGTATACTGGTGTGTCTGTCTGTTATCTTGTTATATATCCAGTCGCAATATTCCCTCGGAACTCCTCGTTTGCGCATGTCTCTTGTCAATTGCTCCGGTATGACGCTGGGGAAGGCTCCTTTTATGTCCAGGTATAATGCGCTTACGACTTGACCTTTCCGCCATGCGTCCTTGACATACTTTGTGACGTAGTGTAATGCGTCAGTCGTGGTTCTCCCTGTTCTATTTCCGAACTGGGTCTTGGGCAGCATTCCTGCCTGTTCGGCTGACTTGGCTATGTCTTCCGCTACGCATGCCGACAGCACTTTGCCTATTGTGTCTAATAGGGCGATTGGGCGGTATGACCCCGGGGTTGTGTAATCCGTTTTGCCTGGTTTTCGCAACACCCTGGTATTTGAGTCCTTCCATACTTGTGGGTGATATTGTAGGCTGAATGTGGCTCTGAATAATGGCGCGACGTATGGCGCTAATTGTTCTGCGCAATGTACCAATACCGCGTTTGTGATCCCGTTTGGCCCGGGTGCTTTGTATGGGTTCAGCTTCTTCATTGCTCGTATTACTTGCTGGTCTTGAATAGGGCTATATTGGAATCTTGGTTCGGTGTTTGTGTTATCTTGTCTTGCCTGTCTATTAGTATCTAGCGCCGGAGGAAAAAAGGAGCTCATCAGCATTTTCGCCTTCTCAGAGTTGCTCTCTGCCCTGACTGCGCTTCCGTCTCCGTCTCTTGATTGGAGGACGGGCATTTTGGTCCTTGTGCCATCCGTCGGGTCGCTGGCTACGTATCTGTGCGCCGTCCACACTGTTTCCTCGTCGAGTTGTTCGAGGAACGCTTCCCAGTGATGCCTTTTCGCTGACTTGATTGCTTCGCCGTACTTGTTTCTTGCTGTCCTGTACTTCTCTTGCACTTGTCGCCTTGTGGTTTCCCTTCCCGTTGTGACCTGTCGGGCCGCTCTTCTCATTTCCGCTCTTAGCTGGGATAGTTCCTTAGACCACCACCGTTTCATGAACTTCGACGGCTTGTTCTTCGGTACGTTGGCTTCCATTGTGTGGTGTATTGCTTCTTCTAGTTTGGCCC